GGGACCAACTATGTCCATACCTATTCTGCTAAATGGTTCAGTAATGACTGGTAAGGGTATCATCTTGGCTCTGTTTGATAACATTTTCCTCGATGTCTTTTGGCATACATCACAGCTGTTGCAAAATCCTTTTACATCTCTGTGAATTCCTGGCCAAAACATCTTCTTCATTATTCTTGAGGTCGTTTTCTGAATTCCAAGGTGACCCGATAATGGTATATTGTGTGACAACTCTAGGACCTTCTTCCGACATTGGCGTGGTACTACTATCTGTTCAATAATATCACCACTTAAATTCTCAACTCTTCTGATAACCATATCATCTTTCTTTATGAAGTATGGTGTATCTTGTTGTTCAGCAGGCATATCTAAGAGTGCTTTTCTCACATTTGATAGAGTTGGATCTTTGTTTTGTAACTGTATCAACTTATCTCTATTTATGCCATCTATGTTTATTTCTGTGTCATCGTGTTTATATGCTTTTCTTCTTTGAAGTCTCTTTTCTCTTCTGCTCTTCTTTTGTTTCTCTCTTATTTGTGGATAAAATACTGATTCATCAAAGTTAAACGGTAATTCTTCCGAATTTGTGGATGTCTCAGTTTGGATAATCTCAATCTCATTTTCAGCTGTTAACAGTTTTGCTTCAGACTGGTCATTTTTCTCTTTCTCTGCTTTATCTTCTTCGATCATGGTTTTGTACTGATTTCTTGTAGTCACAAAAGCTTCACTATTTCTCTTATATACATATTTGTCCATCTTTTCTTGGTCTAGTTTAGATAAAATATCTTGTCCTATAAGTACCGAAGCAGGGAGTGTATTTGAGACTGCTGCTTTGATTCTGTGAACATCATTTTCAAAGTGAATTTCTACCTCTGCTGTTGGGTATGACTGCTTATCACCATGTACACACGTCATCTCTACAGCTTCCCCATGAACAATTGTATCTTCACTGATAAGGTCCTTGTTTACTATGGTTTTGAAACTCCCTGTATCCAATATCATTTCTACATCTTCATTATCATTGAGTCTGGCAATTACAGTTCCATCTTTTCTGGATCTATACTGTGTGAATATATCATTGGGCAATGTGCATAAAAAGGCTGGTTTACTAGACCCTAGGTAACATTTCTCTTGGACGTGGCCATATTTATTACAACGTCCACAGTGTAAAGACTTATCTACCCGGCAGTCTTCAGTTTTATGATTTCTCATTCCACAGTTTTCACACTTCACAGGCTTTCTATCTCCATTGGTTGATGATGTTGTTCCTGGACCAGCTTTGAAGTTTAAGCTACACTCGCTTTCTTTGTGCCCAGTTTTATTACATTTTCTACAGATAATATCTTGAGGGCAATCTCTAGATCGGTGCCCTTTCTCCCTGCAGTTGAAACATTCCCCAGGATTAACTGTGATTTGCTGTGATTTTCTCCAATTTGGATTATCTGAATTAGAGAACTTTCTGTTGAAATTTGCTGACTCATTGTTTTTTCTTTTCTCATTAGACTTCCAATAAACTGCATCTGTTTTTCTTGCTTCAAGGAAGTTGTCAGCGAACTTGATTACCTCATCTGTAGTTTTTGCGTCATTCTCTTTAACCCATGTTTGGACTTCTGTTGGCAGAGTTGTAACCAGCTGTTCTTTGATCAATATATCACTCATCAGTTCAAGTGTGGTCACATTTTTCATCCATTTTCTAAAAACATCTCTCAAACGTATGGTGAATGGTTTGATTCCCTCTCCATCATCTCTTTGTAGGTTCCGAAAACGTTTCCTGTAAGTCTCTTCATTAATAGCATATCGCTTAAGAATAGCTTCTTTAACGATTTCATAGTCACTTGCTTCTTCTTGGTCCACACTTGCGTAAGCCTCTTGCGCTTTGCCAGTTAAACTAGGTCCCAACTTCAGAGTCCAATATTCTTTCGGCCATTTACACATTGTAGCTGTCCTTTCAAATATTGTTAGGAAGTTTTCGATGTCATCATTGTCTCTCAATCTTGGGATGAATGGATCTTTTGGTTTATGTTTTTCTTCTTTATCTTCTTTTCTCTCTTTATCACGTCTTTTCCTTTCATCTTCAAGCTCCATTCTTCGTAGCTGTTCTTGGTATTTTCTTTCATCTTCTATCTCTTCTCTTCTAAGTTGTTCTTGTCTTTTACGATCTTCTTTCATAGCTTCTAATTCTGCAAGTCGATTCTTCTCTTGACTCAGGAACATTTCTCTATCTTGTTCCGTCTTTTTCATCATTGTTGTCATCATCATTTGCTGTTGCATCTGCATTGGATTAAATTGTTGGAACATTGTAGGATCAGTCCTTTCTTCTGTTGGTCCAACTGCTTCTTCGTGTTCTTCTTCTTTAAGTTTTTCTCTCTCTTTATCAGCCATCTTTACTTTTGTTTGCTTTACTGGTGATGATTCCTTGCTATAAACTGTTTTCCTTGTATCAACTGGCATATTTTGTGAATTCCATGGTAAAAGATGTAAAAATTGAAAAAAAAAGCAGTTGTCAATCAATGTTCTCATCTTTATTGCACTTTGATAACCACATCGTATCTCATCTTAAAAGTCTAAAAACTCAGTTGATAAAATGTTCTCTAAAATACAACACTCTGCTCGACTATATGCATACATGTCTTTCACTCCACTAATACTTTCAAACTAAACTCAACTCAGTCAACCTATTGATGCACAACTGAATAATCCATTCACTCACTCACTCCAAAAACAATCTAATTATGAAAGTAAATCTAAACATCTCACACTATTACATCATAATACCTTACAATTATAATATTAACTATACATTCCTTTAACTCTACCATGAACTTCATTTCCAGGTTTGATGATTGGTGCCAGAACATGCGACTTGTTGGTGACAACTATTCATACATATACAACTATACATTCCTTTAACCCTACCATGAACTCCATTTCCAGGTTTGATGACTGATGCAAGAACATGCGACTTATTGGTGACAACTATTCATACATACATACATGCATGCCTTTATACATACATGCATACAACTATGCATTCCTTTAACCCTACCATGAATCCATTTCCAGGTTTGATGACTAGTGCTAGAACATGCGACTTATTGGTGACAACTATTCATACATATACAACTATACTTTCCTTTAACCCTACCATGCACTTTACTTTAAGGCTTGGTGACTGGTGCAAGAACACGCGACTCCCGTGTATTAAACATAAACCACGGGGTTCTATATATACAGGTACCATTTCATTATTATTCATTATAATATTAACTGTACATTCCTTTAACCCTACCATGAACTTCATTTCCAGGTTTGGTGAATTGTGCTAGGAACTGCGACTTGTTGGTGACAACTATTCATACATACATACATGCGTAACATGCATACAACTATACATTCCTTTAATCCTACCATGCACTTCATTTCCAGGTTTGATGACTGGTGCTAGGACATGTGACTTGTTGGTGACAACTATTCATACATACATACATAACATGCATGCGTTTATACATACATGCATACAACTATACATTCCTTTAATCCTACCATGCACTTCATTTCCAGGTTTGATGACTGGTGCTAGGAACTGCGACTTGTTGGTGACAACTATTCATACATACATACATGCGTAACATGCATACAACTATACATTCCTTTAATCCTACCATGCACTTCATTTCTAGGTTTGATGACTAGTGCCTGAACATGCGACTTGTTGGTGACAACTCTTCATACATACATAGATGCATAACATGCATACAACTATACATTCCTTTAATCCTACCATGCACTTCATTTCTAGGTTTGATGACTAGTGCCTGAACATGCGACTTGTTGGTGACAACTCTTCATACATACATACATACATAACATGCATACAACTATACATTCCTTTAATCCTACCATGCACTTCATTTTAAGGTTTGATGACTGGTGCTAGGACATGCGACTTGTTGGTGACAACTTTGAATGTCGTAAATACATCTGAAGTGAACATTACATGGCGTCAAGCAGAATGTAGAGGATATGTCACTGCTACGTTCATGTGTGTAAAAATGAAGAGAGTTCATCTTGATCTGGATTATAACGTACCATGCCCACCACGACGACCATGTTCGTGCTTAGACGGTAATCATTACACTCTGCATAATGGAGTGATCAATTGTGAAGATGTAGGGCTGTACACTTTACCGACAGACATATCACAAAATGTGAGAATCATGCATGCAAATAGAAACAAAATACGTTACATAGAAAACGGAATGTTTCACGGAATGTCACGTATCCAATATTTATATCTTCGTAAAAATGAGATAAATGAAATATCTTCGTTCGGATTCAAGGAGTTTGGTGAACTAGAAGAACTTTCTTTGGCATTCAATAAGCATAATCCACTGAAGTTAAGTATCAACTCGTTTGGAGGGCTATATAAACTAAAGAGTTTGATTCTCAGGAATACTAGGTTGGAGTATCCAATAAACAGAAAACTATTTCAAGATTTGAATTCTCTGGAGAGCTTATACATCGACGATTCTTATATAAAACATGAATTTGACATTTCTCTTCCTAATCCACATCTGTTGCGAATCTTATTTACAGGTCCACTAAATATATTCAAAACTATGTTTAAAAAGCCATCAAATTATAGTAATTTAGACCAGCTGGAACTTTATGACATTCCCCGAAACGAAACAATTTTAGCTGGACAATTTGATGGGTTGTATAAAATGAGGTTTATGAGGTTCTACAATGTAGATATTCAAATTCTAAAACCGGCTCATTTTGCAGGTCTTGTTTCACTGGAATTTTTGCGTATAGAAAACTGTAACATCGACGTAATCGAACAACACACATTTACCCTGCTTAAGAATATTCAGCGAATTTCGGTTGTTCAAAGTACATTACCAAAATACCCAGTCTCATTATTTCAAGGTCTTGAGAAATTGACTGAAGTTTACAGCAATCATGTTGAATTATGCTGCATCGTTCCAACAACAGTTAAATTGTGTACCCCACGACTAGACCACCTGTCTTCATGTGGAGATCTAGTGAAGAACAACATACTCAGGGTGTTTCTTTGGGCATTTGGTATATGTATACTCCTTGCTAACAGTGCTGTCATCATACTTCGTATCTATGAAGGCAGATTGAAGCATGGTGTAAATGAAATACTCGTAATGCATCTCTCATTATCGGATATGCTAATGGCAGTATACATTATCATCATTGCATCGATGGATATGAAATACAGAGGTGCTTATTTTCAACATCAGAGTGCCTGGAAGAAAAGTAGCTTATGTATGGCTTCGGGATTTATTGCATCGTTATCAAGTGAGATGTCCGTTTACGTCCTCGTTGTCATGACGCTTGACCGATTCCTCAAAATAGTGTTTCCGCTTAAAATGCGGTTACACTTTTCCAAGCGTGCTGTTTATGGTGTTCTCATTATTGGCTGGATTCTCTGTATAACCCTAACAGCTTTACCACTTCTCCCTCTCGACTACTTCAGCCCCCATGAATTCTATACGCAATCTGGCTTTTGCTTACCGCTTATGCTGAATTACGATTCTGCAAAAGAAGCCTTGTTTAACCAACGTGAAAACACAGGACAGGATGGTAGCATTGAGCTAGATAGACAGAAATCACAGCAGTCATATTCTCATTTTAACGGCTGGGAGTATTCCTTTGCTCTTTTCAATGTTGTGAACCTTGTCGCCTTTTTTCTTATAGCTGTTGGCTACTTGGCCATATTCTTTGCGACTAGGATCTCGAGATCAAAAACCAAACATGGCTCGGGGAATGAGCGAGACAGGAAGATGGCGGTGAAATTGATGTGGATCGTTTCTACAGACTTCTGCTGCTGGATTCCAGTAATAATCATGGGATTCCTAACCTACTTCAAGATAGCGCTGCCAGGTTGGTATCATAATTTTGCTCATGTGCCCTTTTGTTAATCAATTGTGCATTATACATATGTATATTGTGAAGCGCATGTAATTCTGATTTTAAATTACAAAAACAGTCCTTTGTAATAGGCCTGAGTTGGCAAGATGCTACGCGGAATTAACTTCCCTTAACAAAAAAAACGGATCCGGTTTATTTTGTCTTGTCTGAGATAAAGCGCTCTTTGAATAACAAAAATGATGAGACATGCTTGAATACAGATTGGGAACTTCAACTTGTATATTTAATGTAAAGCAGATGAAATAGATATGAAGACGAACCTGAACATTTTTTGATTTTATTTTTCCATTACTCTCTTCAGGAGAGATTATTGCCTATGTCAGTATATTTGTGTTGCCAATCAACAGCGCTATCAACCCGATACTCTACACATTTAGCACTCTTTCCTGGAAAGACATATGGAAGAAATGCAAATGTAGGTCGACACCTGAGCCACCACTAGCTCCAAATCAGAGCAACACAAATGATGTAGCATCATCGACCTTTACTAGCAGAAAACTGTGAGTGTTAAGATTAAACACAGGGCGTCCACAAAAAAGTATACCAAACTTCAAATCCAAAATTACTGGAATCCTAAGCAGTTTTTCTAAAATACAAAGGTTGTAGTAAAAAGCCTTATTTGTTCTCCATCAAATGGTACCAAGACCATAATGTAACTGTCATGTATGACTGAGATATCTTGACCATTATGAGAGGTGGTAAAATTAGCACTAATCCAAGTTATCTTCCTGTGTGGCAATTGATGTGTAATTGGCTTAGTGTTCTTTTTTTCTGTTACATTAAGTTAGAGGACAGGCCTTCCATACTGAACTGGACTTGGGACTGAGTAACTCTCTTATGAAAAAAGGTTTGGAAAAAAGCTTAACTTACTCTAAAATAGGCCTGAAAAAATGGTTCAACTGTCACCTAAGCAGTAGAGCCAACAAAAATTTCTAAAAAGCAAGTCCTGTGTACTGTTTATAGAACCCATATTCTTACTATTGAAATGGTTTCTAGCAATACTGTTCCACGTTAATCTACTTGTTTAGACTCAATAAACTCGAGTTCTTATGACAAAATGAGGATTTCAACAAGGGCTATTGACTTTACATGGAAGTACAATTGACTTCAAAGCTGCATATCAGCAAGTAGAAGTTTCATTGCTGTTCAAGAGACTCTTCAGATTCAATTTCTCGAAAGGGAAGTTACAACTAAAAGTTATGGAAAGTTATGAAAAAGTGTGAAGAACATAAAACAAGTATCAATTTGAACATTAATAATGTTTTGAACACACAAAAGTTGAATGTTAATTTGGCACAGTGTTGATTTTACCAGCTTTCATAAAAGTCATGATTGCTCAGTCATCCATGACAGTAACATAATGATCTAGGTTCCATTGGGTGGAGGACAAACTAGGCCATTTACTGCTCCCTTTGCAAAAAAAATTGCTCAGAATTCAAGTAACCTGGGATTGAAGTTGGCTATACTTATTTTGTGGACGTCGTGTATATAAAACTAACAATTATAACAAACGGCATGATATCGAACCACGGTTACATCTTTATTTGAAAAAATTAGTTGATTTATTAAGACTCTTTGTTAGTAGTTCAGATGACTGTATTGACATATCTCTCCCCATTAAAACGCATTTTATCTTTAGATCTCTTATGACCAGTGACATTAATTTATTTTTACTGGATTTCGACCTCATGATTCTCACTCGAACAACAATAGTACAATATTCGACGATCCATAGTATTAACAATAATATACCTACCTTCAATAAATCTTATTACAATATCAATACATCTGTCCTCATATTTCGTAGATTCACAGTAGGAGCAGCGGAGTCGAAGTTTGAAACATATGAGAGAGAGATGGGGCAGCTTCAGAAAGCCTAAGAATGCAGTGATAACTATACATTGATGACCTTGAGAAACGCCACGGAGCAACATGAGACCCGATCAAAATCAGCAATAAAATTATTTTATAGACACGAACGATGGTAAAAATAAGAAAGCATGTGTCCATTGTCACTCTTTAGGTCAAGATGAAGAACATTGCCATGCTTCAAAGATGAAGGATCAACTGAGCTAGCCATGTCAACTTAAACTTTTGAACTGGTAGGGTTGATAGAAAATTGAGCCCTACATCTTCCTAAAAGGAGCACTAACAGATTCATTAGAAACAGATATTACATCCAAAACATTATCGAGTAAAAGCACAAAATCGAAATCTAAAAACCCTGTAACCCTGCTAAGGCCTAAATGTCTCATGGCCCTTGCTTGAGAAGCATTGTAAACATTCTTCAGAATAGACAAATTGAGCGATTTTTATATCTTAAGTTATCCATCAGGAATTGCCTACATAAGGCCATTTTTGATATACTGTTTCGAGTATTTCAAGAGTAACATGAGAATGTGTTTGCCATATTTTAAAAACAACTAGGACATTTTAATTGAACATTACCTCGACGATGTTCTCTTCATAAAGGACAATGACTGGTATGATTTCTTTCTAGCTGTATCCGATCAACAGTACAAAAGCAAATTTCTTGCTGAATGCTCCTCAGAGTCTTCACTAGATTTTATAAATCAATCAAACAAACCCCATTTTTGTTAGGGATAAAGTTTGAGTATTGGGTTTTATGAGAAATAATAGTGGAGGGCCCATAGTACATATCCTAAAACCCATGTGCGAATGTTTTATCTAACTTAAACACCACATACTCGTATAAAAGGTAAATGGTCGATTACCTTATCATGGGCAGTCAAGGGTCAAAGCAGCTCCCAGGGTCCTTAAAGACACAATTCCAAGACCCAGGGTCCTGTTATTCAATCAAAAAGTAGTTTTCATTAACCAACATTGGCTCACTGGTTGAGCGAATGTCATTATTGATTTTGTTAAAATATTCTCATTATACATCACATATGTGAAATGGTAAAATTCACCCCTGTGTACATTATATGGTACATTCAAGTGAAATTTTAGGTGTGGTGTCTATTGATGCGATATGATTAAAATGTGAATGATTGACATCTCTCTATCATTTAGACAGTTACTTTAAAGTAATCAAATCCTGATCCCTGTATTTACCTATAATTGCACTATGAGAAATCACATGTCGATAATCATGATATTGGCAATGAACTCAAACACTGTTTTTTGTAAATATGTTCCTTTGTAGTTATAATTTTTGTACATTAAAATGATGTAATTGTATATGTTTGCTCTCCCTTGTGGAGGAATAAAAGATACAATACAATATTAAGATAAAGGTACATTTGAAAATTGGGATGTATCATCTATTTTTGTCATGTCTCTATTTGAAGTAATAAAGTTATTGTCTTACATTTAAAATTATTTTAATTGTTTGAATTTTATTAATTTTATACTAATTCAGTTAAACTATAGACATTATAGCAATTATAGTGTCAGAAATGGCTCAAAATTTATTAATATTACATGTTCGAAACAATGTTCAAAACATCGAACAAAAAAATGTTTCAAATATAAGAAAAAAGAAAATCATAGTGATTTTATCAAAACATCAAATAAAAAAACAGCAAATGTTTTTTTGGAAGAAATGTTAAAGTGAATGTTTTAAGTTCAAAGTAATAAGTACACGACTGACTGACTTTGATGTTCAAACTTTTTTACTTTTTTCTTATTTGAACTTTTCACTTTTGTATTCGAACTTTAAACGGCATTCTGCAGTTCAAACCTATGTGCATTTTTCTTATTTGAACTTTTTATTTTTCTGTTCAAACGGTTCGGTACTTCTTATTTTCTGTTCAAACAGTTCGGCATTCTCAATCTTTATATAGTACGCATTTGCAAGATTTTTTCAGTGTTTGACATCATGATTTTGAGTATTTGATGTTTAGTTTTTGCTTTTACAAATCTTTTTTCACAGTTTGATATATAAAATAAGCTAGTTTTAAAATTGATTCAAGCATGGATGAGACGCGTAATTGTAACTTTGAAATATCAAGTATTGAAGATAGATTTTTAATAAACATTACTAAAAATAGAACAAAAACTTTGAATTGAAAAGTGGAAAAAATAATATGAATTATCAAACATGGAATTCAAAAGATTGAACAAAAATTTCAAAGTTTGAATTGAAAAGTGAAAATTTAAACGAAAAAATTAAATATCAAACATAAAACTCGAAACTCGAATAAAGACGCTAAAAATGCCATAAGCAATGGTTCAATGTTGACCAATGATCCGTTTTATCTCCTGTTGCCACACTTATATCACAATTCATTATTTTACTGTCCCCATGTTTACAATACAATGAAGCATTCTTTGTCAAATTGTCTTGTGTCTCTTATACTTCAAGACTGGGCCTCCCTACCAATTACCAGCTAAGCAAACACGTTCTATAGTAGGTAAGAGTGAGAAACTATTTGTGAATTACAAGTTTAGAGAATATCCTTTATATATATGAAAAACATTGTCATTTTTCAATAAATGATATCAGGAAAACAAACATTGTATCACTATGTTATACTGAAGAAATTCATATTTCTCAATAGAAAGGCATTGTCAGAACCATTGGCACACATATACTGGCTTTCACTTCAAGCTAGTATAGTCACACAATCTGAAATACATTGGACTCTATTTAGGCAGACCTATCATGGATTGGAACAAACCGTTAATATGATCCAAAGGATAGTTTAAGCTAAAAATGTTTTTCACAACGCAACCCTGAATGGATAGTACATGAGTCGCTATAGCAATTTATACCATGGTCAGAGCAATACCAGATATGGTGCCAAACGAATATGCCCCCCTCCCCTTAATTTCAAATGGATAAACTTTTGTGCATAAAACTGGATTTAGTTGAGCTTGTCATCTTAAACTCCTTGTAGTGTTGCTCAATGAAGCCTACTTTTAACGTGCTAAAGAACAACATTATGTTGATGTTAAAGCTAGTTGGGCTGGGAGAACATGTTTATTTGACACCCTGTATAACTTCAAGTGATAAATCACATATTTGGGAAAGAGACGGTATCATATTTGAATTAGCGGGATGATATCAGGTCTGATATAGATAGTCATCCCGCTAATTCTAATATCATCCCGCCAAGGGAAATTATTTGAGGCTTCGTTTCGTTCTTTTCACATTCGCGCCATCTATTTAATTACTAATTTTAAAAAGACATTTTGAAGAAATTGTCGTCATTTTTGTAGTATCACACAGGAACCTGTATCAACCGATGGCTAATGAAACCTGGAAGGAATAAAAACGCTTTTAAAATCGCCCTTTGATATTTTATAATAGTACCCAGTCTAGTCGTGTTATTTATGTTTTGACAGTTATATGGAATATAAACATGTAACGTTAATATTTCCCAAATTAATTCATTGTTTTCTCATCAAACAGATGATTTGGGAGGAACACTGGGAGCCACCTCCATGAGTTACTTTTAATAAAAAATGTATGTGCAAATGTGAAAAGGGAACCAGGAGACAATAAACATTTTTACAAATTATTATCAAGTGTAAGAATTATACCAAACAATAAATATCTATAAAACATTGCGTATTCATAAGCAACAGTGTACTCAAGATCGGAATGGCTAAAGTTGAAAAGATGAATTAAAGAGAGAATCAGATTTTACGAGCAGCCTAACAAAAAATTGTTTTAATTTCAGAATATTTCTGACCAATGTCATTCCTTTTCATGTCTATTTTCTAAAAATACCCAAAGTGCACACTTTATTACAGGAAAACTTTTCTATAAGAATGGTTTCCATTCTTATTTTTTGGGAGAATTTAAACTTTTTTCACCCATTTTTGCACTTTGAATCCCTTATAACTTCACCAATTTATAACATATCGTGAATCTTTTTTGAGATATTGTAAGGAATAGATTAGTTGGTCAATTGTACATGTTGCTTGTAATTTTGGATATGGTTAGGATATGGTATCAAATAAAAAGTGCAAGTGAAATATAAGTTGCTGTGGTATCAGTGACCTTACATCAAACAGTATACGTATTGTGTTGTGTTTACAGCAAATATATGCCCGAATACTGACATAAAATTAAAAATGTTTCCAAAAGTACATTACCCATCAAATCCTCCAGCAGACGCAAGTCAACGGCAAACCTAACGTGCGGCCACCGTTGGACCTTTCTGCGGTCTGTCAATGGCCTGGTGTGTAACACCCCAGTCACATATGTCGTAAGGCGGCCGTGCGTCGACCGCAGATCAATTAAATCTGTGAGTTTCTGCGGCCTCCGTGCGGCGACCGCAGATCAATTAAATCTGTGAGTTTCTGCGGCCTCCGTGCGGCGTATCCAGTTTTTTACAGGCCGCAGGGTCGCCGTAGCAATTATAACTCGGAGTTATAATATTTGTTCATTTCTGAGGTCCCCGTAGAAATCAACTGGCTCAACAAGATTGAATCATTATTTGTCAATGTTTCACGATCACTTTTCATTTGATATTACATCCTTGCACTATGAATAACATTTATAAATTGTCCTGATGTAAATAAAATGAAAAAAAGTATTATTTATCAACAGAAATTTAAAATTCACCGTGCGGCTGTCGTGGGAAATGTAACTCAAAAGTATGAGAGCGCAGAAATTCTACGGCGAGCGTAGAAAAGCTACTCGCCGCAGAAATGATAGACCGCACGGCGGCCGTAGGAAATGTGACTGGGGTGTAAATAAACGTTAATGTTTATTTTTATTGAATTTAATTTAAATCAGTATATTTTATAAATGTTATTTATAGTGCTGAGATATAATATCAAATTAAAAGTGTTAAGTATTGACCAATAGTAACTTAATCTTTTGTAATATAGATTGCTGTGGTATCAGTGACCGGCATCAAACAGAATACCCATTGCTTACACCCCAGTCACATGTGTCGTACCGAGGTCGTGCGTTGACCGCAGATCAATTAAATCAGTGAATTTCTGATCGCCTTGCGGTCACCCTACGGGGCATCCAGGTTTTTACAGGCCGCATGGTAGCCGTATAAATTATAACTCGGAGTTATAATATTTGTTCATTTCTGCGGTCCCCGTAGAAATCAACAGGCTGTTGTAAGACCGCAGAAAGGTCCAACGGTGGCCGCATGTCAGGTTTGCCGTTGACTTATGTCTGCTGTAGGGTTTGGTGGGGAATAAACCTTTGGAAACAGTTTTTATGTCAGTTTTTAGTTGTCAGTTTTCGGTCATAAATTTGCTATAGACACAATATAATACGTATAGTGTTTGATGTAAGGTCACTGATACCACCAACATCAACTTATATTTCACTTGGACTTTTAATTTGATACTATACTGACCTCAGAAATGATAGACCGCACGGTCGCCGTAGGAAATGTGACTGGGGTGTTAGTGTTCACAGCAAAGCTATGACACCAAACCTGGCTTGAAAAATTGTTTCCAAAGGTCCATAACACATGAAAATACTACGGCAGACGCAAGTGAACGTAACCCCGACGTGCGGCCACCGTTGGACCATCCCGCTATGGCAACGGCCTATTAATTTCTACGGGAACCACAGAAATGAACAAATATTATAACTCCGAGTTAGAATTTCTACGGCTTCCCTGTGCACACCTGTATCCCTGTGCATTATGTGATATAATATTATGGACTTAATTTGCGTTACCGGTATAAAGTATATGACTGTGCTACACCTGTGAATTATGGGAATGTTACTGTACTACACTTTTGAATTATGGGATATATGACCAATATAATATATGATCAATTTTACAAAAAAACATGACAGACGGACATTTTGTCAATGATAATGAAAGTAAAACTCAGCATCTCATAACTAAGTCAACATTGGATAATAAAAGTCTCAAAAATTGTACATCTTTGATTTCCAAAATAATTTATAAGGTGGTTATTAAAATGATCATACCCATTTTAACGTATCAATTTTGAGTAAATCTCGAAATTATTCTCAACAAAGCGTTCGCGAAATAAGTATTCGAATTGTTTGGGTTCGGGGTGATTAAAGTACGTTAAAGATGTAACGCTCCTCAACAAATTCCAACAAGATATAGAATAGAAAGCATTTTCTACTTATTTACTCACTGACACATGGCAACGAATGTTTCATAAGTTAACATCTCTACGGGTGCCATTTTTTATAATTGAACAACAAAAAAACATTTTTCATTTCTAAATTGATAAGAATGCAACAGGGATACAACAAAACTGTTAACGGTTTAAGTCAATTATAATGTTTTCCTTAGTGATTTCATGATTTTTATTGTAAATAGAAAATAACGGGGTCAATGTTTTATGTTCAACCTTCTTTTCAAGACTTTTAAACAGAGTCGACGCTTATGTAGGAAATTACAATTCCAAATGTTAGCGTGTCAACTCGTGTTTTTTCACAATATTTAGCCTTTTGTCATGATTGATCGTCAAAAACTGCATGTACCTTTTAATGAGATGGAATGTTTTTTAATTAAGAGATGCTAGCTATAAACTCAAACGAAAATGCAAACTTCCCACTATTATACTCCTCAAATAAGTTAAGAACCAGTGGTTTTCATTTTAATTTGCCTGTGAAATTTCATGAAATTCATCAATTTTGACATCAAATTTTGACCCATTGTAATGGAGTTATAAAATTGAATTTTACAGACTTTATAAAGTATAGAATCAAGATACAGATTTATTTACTTTATTGGGCTTTCTTTCGTTCCAAGCCGAGAAAATAGTCGTTCAAACAAGTATTGGGGTTAACAAGCCTTTGAGGAAAACCACTGGTCCTTTACACTTTTTGAGGACCATATTTTCATTGCACAAAACGAAATGTCCATTCCCTTGGAGCACTTTGGTTACATTTTGACGGAGGAGTCTTGATAAATTGTTCGAATTTTCATAATAGGTTTCATGCATATTCATTGCTTTGTTTAAAATCATACTCAAATCCGATACCATAATTATAAATTAAAATGAAACATTAGACTCACCAGGTTAGATGATTAACCGTTTCTATATAAATGTAAGCCTGCATGTATTCGACAGTTAATGCACATATATTATGATGTAGGCATCAACGTGTGACCTAAATATCAATTCGTAACCATCATATTTGGCTTTCGAAACTTAATTAGAAGTTACAATTGTAGGAGATTACCGAAAACGTCAATCACATCCAAATATCCGAATGACGTCAAGTATATTACGATACACTTTTTGTGCATCTCGAACACGTGATCCATCAATGTGTAAAGAAAAACTTGACACGCATCAACAATTTTCTTTGAGTAGGAGATTAAAGTCGAAATTACAAGTTTCAAAATATTTGCGTCAGTCAAGAATTGTCAGAACTTGAAACATGTTGTTAGTTTTCAAACCGCATTTCCTCATTCACGTTCTTTAACAAGGATGAATTCCTTTGAAAACATGGATTTCCTTGATCATTCTTCAAAACTACCCTTGAAGTATAAGAATGTAGGATATTACAGTGTAAATTGACACGCCTTTGTTTGCTCCATATCATAAAAAATAAATGCAGTACCATCTGTCAATATTCGAAAACGGGCACCATTGTGGTACCATTCTCAGTAAATATTGATGAACAATCGAATTTTGGATGTTGACTTGACTTTGTTACTGAACCTGACTAATTAATGAGAACACTTCAAAGGATCAAACAACGTTTTCAAAGTCAAGATTATCGAATTGCATCGACGTGTAACATCTTCCTTTCCTTCATGTGGTAGCCATATCTATTATTAGTTTCTTCTGACTAACAAAACAATTGAAGACCATTCGGTCAACCGACACAATTTTGCCAGTTGTTCCACTAAAGCATGGTCGTGTGTGTTGATACCAGTTCCATTTGATGTGTGCTATTTTAAAGTCATCACAACTGGTTCTCATAATCATGCGATGTTTACTGAAAATATTGCTTATTATTTTTCAAAAACAGCTAAATTATGATTTTTTGTCAAAAATACAAAGTTTGGTTTTGTTTGTGGTAATACAAATCCGGATTAAAGAATCGATTGCGTTGATATTTTTCGAACTACATAAAAATATGTTTGACATCAGCTCTTAAAAGGGCGATGTTAGATGTGTGTTACCCATGCAATGAAATACTTTTTCTCAGCATATACCATTTGTCTAATATTTTGTATCCTCCAACACACTGGTTAAATTAACATTGCTGATGCATCATAAGATTTCGCCAGAAAGTGCCCTTAAGGGTTACCTCTTAAATGACAGACCATGAAAACATCAGTCAAATTTGTTTTCATTGTTATTTTTGTGGCGGATTTAGGTTTTTCTGTCAAATATTTTGTATCCTCCAAACATTAACATTTCATCAATGCATATAAATGATTTTGAACAATTATTACTAATCTAATGTAGTATTTAAATTATTGTTATATAAATTCTCAATTATATCTAATTTGTAAATAAATTGAAGATGTTGAGCATGTGTTGGAGGATACAAAACATATGGACATTATAAAACGTGTTATTTTTTATGAGTATGTAATATCAAAAAAAACTTTTGACAGCTGGTCGGAAGCATATTATACTAACCAGTCAAAAATTATCGACGGACTTGGTGCATAATTTGTTATGTTGTCCGAGTTTCCATAGCAGATGAACCGCGAGTTGTTTGTAGAATGAATCTGGGGAGCTTTTTCATGCATTTCGCTTGTGTTTTCCATTTAAAAAACATCAATACACTTTAAAACATTTTATTGACTATAAGATTGCACCATATAATCCTAAAAGAATATTTCTCATTTTCAAGGATTATCTACGGATTAACACCCGGGTACTGTTATTTTTCAAACTTCAGAGGGCGGGGAAACCCCCCAAAATGGATAAAACTTAAGATAAACCTTTTATTTCATTAACAAGATACTTTTTTTTAACTTTATCGTTCACGACGACGTGTACAAGAGCACTTTCAACTTGGCTTAGTCCTCGATTATGTGATATATGCAATAAGAGTCAAGATACTAGTATTTGTTTGGAGATAATTTAGTGAATAACAAAATCAAAGGTTGTGTATTTAAGATTTTTACTAACTTTCTCTATAAAATAATGGAAATTATTTGAATTATCAATTTATAACATTTAATCAGTTGTTTCAACAAAAAGCCATCTGTAATACTTTGTATGTTGTATTCTCACAGGGCCAATAATGCTTTCGCCTAGGCCCTGTTAATGTATTATATATATATGATTTCAATAAATGAACCATAAAAACCAAAAAAAAAATACTAGTTATCATTATCCCCGTACCCATGGAACTGTGCATTAACATTAACTGTACATTAACATATCGTAGTCCATTGGACTATCCATGCGTTACAGAAGTGGCGGCTGTGGCCATCGTACCAGTTGAACTCTCTCTTGGGTCTCGTTTTTTAATAGGTCGCTTTACACCACATAAACCAAGGATCCTCCAGCAGAAATTCTTGTATCCTTCATTAAAGGCTTTATTACTGAATCCGTACACAAAGCAATTTACGCCTGATCCGTTGGCGTGCATGAGCTGAACAACCAATGTCCAGATCACCGTTGGGAATATATCACTCGGGTCGAAAATGAGGGCTACACCGTATGGTGAGTTCATCAGCAGAAACACAACGAATAGGCCGAACAGTACTTTCGCCAACTTGATTTCTTTCGTCATGTTTGAGTCGTTGCCCTTCTTACTTTCACCAGCGACTTTTTTCTTCGATGTATAGACCTTGACAAAGATGAGTGCATAACTGGTGGCCACGATTCCCACAGGGATGAATACTCCAAGAAGAAAGAAAACGGTGAACAGTCGATTTGCATTTCTATCCCATATACATCCCAGCATCTTCTTATCGTATGTGAACTTTCCGAACCCATTGAGAGCGCCGATGTTTAGCCAACAGCTATAGACCCACATGATGATGATCATGATTGCGGTGTTCAGTTTGCTGTACATCTTAGGATATATCGACGGTCTACAGATGCAAACATAGCGATTCACGGCGATTGCAGCAACTGTTGCTAATGAGCATAAACACGCGCTCAAGCAGAAGAAGCTCACAATATCACAGAGTGCTTTACGGTCCAAGAACCACTTTTCTCCCAAAAATGCTCCCGCTGCGAAAAAAGCATTCACCCAACCAGCGAGGATAATATCGCAGATCGCAAGGTTCACAACGAACACATTCGCCACTGTCTGCAAGCCTTTGGTAACAGACACTGCTCCGATGATGAGGATATTCCCAAAGACTCCAATAGTTGTGAGAACAAGCAGAAAGGCTATCAGGATGGACGTCTCTACGGGATGAGTCTGTAGAAAGTGCACGTATACTTCCGCTGGACTTGTTTCATTTGCCATGATTTCAAAATTATACCTCTTGGGTCAGATATATCTCTAAGTACTGTATGGCTTAACTCTATCCCGTGGTCAGTTAATATGTAACGTAGTGTTACTTTTGTAGGTTTAGTCTAAATGTTTCAAACCTCAATTCGTCATGCAAATGGTCATGATTTGTTTCCGTTAACAATTAATTCCTCCGTACAGTCATCTGCCTTTATTGTACACGAACTTCCTTTTAGCTCCTAATTATCAAGTTTTAAAAAAACCAATCAAACTTTTAGTTTATTTTCATCACCAATTTATATATTAACAAACCTTAATTCTCCTACAGTCACGCGTGTCTGCTTGCTTACTCACTAAGAGTGGAGTTCATCAGCACTTTTATTTAGAATATGCTTTTATTTGTTTTCAAGTACAGCGAACAAACTAAGTCGACATTTTAAAGAACATGTGATGCTACAGACTGCCAAATATGCATAGGGTGTTTGTTTTCATAAATAGCTTCCCATGGGCTCTACGTGCTTATATTGTTTCTGGAAGATAGAGTATTGATGATTGACGGTTAACATGGTAACCATGTCGATGAGTGTATGAATAGATCGAGACTCCCAATAACAGATAGTAATCTGTCATCAATAAAGCAATTTTGACACAATGCTGAACGGAGTGACCTGTCTCATATTCCTTCAAAAGAAACGAGTATTACTCTACAAAATAAGGCCAGTGGGCTCCTTAGTGACTTTTGAATTATTTCTTCTACACCAAGGTTCCAATTAAAACCATTGAAAAGCTGAGAGTGTCAGCTTTAGGAATCTTAACCTCCATTTGAATTTTCTGAATTTTCACTGAATGCAAAATTAGATATCAACCCTTAACCATTTAGCATATTGAACTCCCTTCCCAAAATGCGTCATTTCGTGTAAATCGAGCCATAATCGACTATCTTATGGATCTTTAAATGTAAAATACAGTTAATCGACACATATTTGTGAATCGGGTTCTGTTCACGAATTTGACATAAAAAACGGGTTTTCTCAAAAACTATTTGATGAATGCCTTTGGAATTTTTATTGCGTCTTATTAAATATTCATGCAAACTGTAGTATATTAGAATTATAATGATGACCCTCTTCAAATTTTATATATGATTTTTATATTCTCCCCTACCCCTAACTTTTCGGGTTTCACTAATTGGATTTATATCCCGTTGCTTTGTGGTTGCTAGGCAAAAAATGGGACTTTTCATCTCTTATTTCGAAGAGTCGAGTAATTTTTTGTCGTTCTGCTGTTAAAAAAGTTGCTGCATTTTTACTTGTGAATATTGTAATAAATTTGTAACGACCCTCACTGCGTTCATCGGGAGCCGAGTGAACGAATGATACATGACATCTTCAAGCACCACTTACAAAGGTGGGTCGATGTGCAACTAAGATCCCTCAGGTATGGTTACGATAATATGCAGAATATTTCCTATCAAGTACAATATATACTCAAACAAAATTACATGATTACAGAGAGGCTTATGCTACAACAACACATTAGCCAGCTTATATATGCATTAATTCTACATTAACTACACATATATATAACATACAATGCTTTCACTGGTAGAGTGTAACGCAGCTGGTGACCAAATAAATATACATGGCAACATGCATTGCCAGTACTTTGCAACAATCTATGACAATGAAAACACATATAACATACAGGACTTTCATATGGTAGAGTGTAACACAACTGGTGACCAAATAAACATACATGGCAATATGCATTGCCATTACTTTGCAACAACATATGACAATGAAAACACAACCAAAACTGATATCCGAGAGCGCGCACATGACGCAAAGATCCTAATTACAACCACCAAAATCCTTGTTCCAAGGGTATTTCACTTCTTTCCATACCCTTGGTTTGGCTTAGACAAATGTCGGGACTGAGCAAACAAACTTTCAAATAGCCCTTAAATCACCAGCCAATCAGAACAATTGTTACTTATCAAGGGTTGAAATAAACAAAGATTTTCCAAAGATGTTCACAGTGATAAACAGCCATTATATGTTCACTAATGAGTTTATTGCCCCAATCTGCATGCATTTCTTGTTAAGAATCCAATTCATAAGTAATTTGCATCTCATTAGGGGTCATAAACAGAGGGAGGACAAAACATTCCCATTGAATTGTGTATAGACATTATGATTGGAGAACACATTTTCTGCGTTAACCACTAGGAAACTGGCATGTTCTAAAAGGTGTACTGGCTCCAATTTAGTGGACTCTGTGGCCTTATCCATTGTTTAGTCATTGTGTGGTTGAAATGACTAAAAGGTGGACTGATACAAAGGCCACTATTTAGGTATTTTGATAGAAGAATGACTAAAAAGTGGCTTCAAACTGGAGTATAAAGGGGTAAGTAAAAGGATGGTACTGAGTGATCTAACCCACCCAAGATGCATGCCTAATAGAATCATAAAACCTTATCAAGTGATACAATCTGTACCTGACACCATCAACTATTGTATCTTAGTATCCCTTGAAAATGTTATATCATTTTGTCAAAGTAACAATTATCACAAACAATGAAGCTCTGATTTTATAACTTTACATGACCCCAAAACAGCCTCGAGACAGCTTAATGTTGAGAGGTGGGGGTAAACAATGCTAAAAAAATTAATTACAAACTTTTCCACAACTTGCAGTTGGTAAGGGTATATATGTATCCCAATTGATATAGAATTTTCCCTATTAAATGATTATGTTGGAGGAGTTTGCAATCATTAGTTTTAAGCTGTGATTTGCAAAAAATAAAAGAACTAGATACAGTTGAATTCTATTGTTGATGAAAATTATGAAGTTACGTCATTTTTTGTAAATATATCAGAATCAATAGCATTCCATTGTAAGTTTAAGGCAGAGTAAATCTGGAATAGCTGAATTACAAGGCTCTCATACTTTATCTCTAAAATCTAAAATTGACATGCTTTATAAATTTAGTATGACCACACTTGTATAATATTTGCATAATTTGTCAAACTTAAATTATCCTTCACATTCTTTTCAATTGGGACAATCTAGCCGACAATCTACCTAACACTGCACGCCACCTAAATATCTTTGTTGTTTCCCTTACAAATGTTGACTGTATATTTTGAAAAGTGAAGCTCCTCATGTTAAAATGTTGAACCCCGGGGCTGGACAACCAACCTTAACTCAATTTAATTTGGAGAGGGGGGTAAAATGGTAAAACAATTGATTAAATTTTCTTACTTTTTTTCCACAACTATCAATTTGCAAAGACAGGTGTGAATTCCAATTGATATAAAATGTTCCCTTACTGAAAATATCATAGAAGTTTGCAGTCAGTAGTTTAAATCCTTCAGTATATATTTATTTGGTATATATTTTATGAAAATGAAAAAAACATATGGCGTAGTGTTGAATTATATTTTTGTAAAATGACCAATATAAAACCATTCATTTTTTTGTTTTGTAACTATATCAGAATTATTTATCATTCCATTAAAAGGGTCGACTCTTAATGGCAGGGAAATATGGAGGTAGGTGCGGAAAGTCACTTTTATTTGCTTTTTCCAGCCCCATGTCATTTGAATGGTAGCTTTTATCAAAAATTGCCACAAGTTTCGTTTATTCCTATAAAGACTAAATCTGAAAAATCTGTTTTCCTAGGAATTCAGGAGACTCTTGAGAATTTTACACCTCTAGTTTTCAAAATCATGTAACTTTGAAACACAAAAGTTTTGTCCGATTTACGGTCGTAAAAGGTACATTGTATGACATTTAATATTACTAGGATACTCTATAAACATTACTTTTGAAGAAATTATTTGATATCTACACTATCGTGAAATTTAATATGATACTCCGATGTTTATCCAACGATTAAATGAATCAAGGACGTTCTTCAGGCCCGTAGCCAGGGGGGTTCGCAGGGTTCGGGCGAACCCCCCCCCCCCCTCCCCCCTGGCCAAGAATTCTTTCAAAATCATGCAGTTTTTCACCATTTTGAGCACTTCTCAAGTGATTTTGATCATATTTGGGCCTTAATTGTCAAATGTGAACCCCCCTGGAAATTTTTGAAAACTGACCCCCCCCCCTTTGCAAATCCTGGCTACGGGCCTGTCCTTGTATGAATCAATCCTTATGAATAGAGATCAAAGTTCAAGAACATCTAATTTCAATGACCGTAGAAGTATTATAAAAGATTAATTATCCTGCATTGTCAAATGAAAGTGTATATTTACTTAAATGAATAATTCATTAAATTTGAATGTGCAACCAGTACCAGAAGCTTCCAATCCAATATATTGACTGAAAGTTATTCAATATACATTAAACCGGAATATGAACAAAGATATTTGTTTATTGATGGAGCGGTATATATGAATCAAAGGAGAGTTTAAGCGTGTATATAAAATCGAAAGGCAACCTCGAGAATAGGAACGCATGAGAATAACTTTGTACAAACTGTCATTTTTTGAGAATGAGATAAACATGGACTTTTACTATTCAAAGTACAGGCTTTCATCCCAGATACATGTCCCATGTCAATTCCCTCTCAAATAAGCTGAAATCCAGTGTGAAAGTGTACCATCACCAGACAAATCTAGCAAACTTAGTTTAAAATTGTCATATATGAATTAACTCACTGTATCAACCTTCTTAGAATTAGTCGTGTGAATATGTTTGTGATTTCATGTCAATGATTCAACACACAGACTTGCTGGGTCTATAAAGACGCCAATACAATTGTCAAGGAACGCTCACGTGTCTATCACGTATCTGGTGAGTTCAGCAGCCAATTGTACTGTAACATCTCTTGAGAATGTTGACATTGAGAGTAAGAAAGGTGGGCAGACTCTAAGATTCAATAAGAACTTTCTCCTTTACAACAAATCATTACAGTATTTGTGTTGACAAATTATTTTCAATGCCTGGTCAATTTTTTTTATGGATTTACCCCGAAGCATGAGTTTTCAAAAGATTCCGAGAAAATAGAT